TCACACTCCATAGGTTGTACTGGCTTGACCACGTGCTGCGTATGCCAGTCAACCGACTTCTTCAAGGGCTCTTTTCGCGTAGCCACTTGAAGGGCGGAAGGGAGCCAGAAGCGGTCAAACAATGACTTGACGGCGAAGTATGAAAGCCATTACCAGCAAACTCAGCTGCGCTGGTCATTGCCGTCTTCCTGGATGGGGACCACGAGACGGGCCACATCAATGGCTAGAGACATTGTCAGACATGGCTCAGTTGCGCCCTCAATGGCGCTCATGCATCCAAGCTATTGCCTTCAATGCATAGCTCCTTTTCCCACCCCGCCCCCTATTTGACAGCCCACTGACAGTGCTGGATTTATGCACCAATCTATCAGCTCCCGCCTCCACTGCGGAGCTACCTGCCCCACCTCCAAATCATCGGTGAACGAAACTGCGGCAGCTACAACCACTGTACGATGAGTACGCGGTCATTACAACTGAGAATGATGATGATGATATCGTAGTAACCGTGTGTGGAGACGCCAGTATTTGTGTCGAGTAATCAGCCCTGGCAGCGGAGCTGGATGGTGAAAATTCTTCGACAGCCCACAATCTGTTCCGCCCTTTGTAGGGCTCGTCAGGTAGGCGCATTCCCCGAGTTCCCGTCAACTTCATATTCTACTTGAACCCAAGCGGCACGAAATTAGCAAGATACACTCATTTGCAAACAAATTTGATTTCGCGGGAGACACCTGGAAGCCGGATGAATCTCTTGTTTATGATGTTTTCGAGCAACTGAATGTGCTGCACCAGGTCGCCTCGTGTTTCGTTCGATACGATATTCGAGATATCGCGATTCATGTATGAACTTAATACACTACTCATAAGTTGCTCATCAGTTGCTTGAAAATATCACCTGGGTTCCAGGTGAGTCTCCCGCAAAACCAAAGTTGCTTGCAAATGAATGTATTTCACTAAAGTGGGATCCCCATCATCTTTACCAGAAGGATGATGGATGGTTAAGGGATCGATAAACTGTGGACAGTATGCTAAGCAGGTATATCCTTCTTTACAAAAACAGTAGATTTTTGCGCATTCCAGCTCGCATGACAGTTCATGTAGGTTACTTTTTCTTTCACTCATTTTTTTAACTTTTCCGATGTAACATGTTGTTAACAACATGACGTACTGAGTATTTCCGCATATTGCCTGAATTATTCCTGGCTGTTTGAAAACTCAACCTCACTATAAACCGAGTTATTGCAGTAGTCGAGTGTCAACATTTTTGCGTACCATGCGTTAAAGATTGACCCTATCGCCCATTCTTCCAGAGTTGGCTCCACAAGTTAAAGTACTATCCACCCATTTGTTTACTTATGCTGCCACCTACGTTGTCACCCACATTACATCCCACAATGGATTTACTCTTAGGGTTACGGCACTCAGATGATGAACCACCTCAAGGACTACCATGTTCAGCATGGGATATTTCACTTTCTGACGTATGCTGACTCTTTCGCTACCGGTTATTTCCGGAAGCAAGGCTTCTCTCGAGAGATTCGTTTGACTCGTCAGGCGTACCATGGTTACATTAAGGAGTATGAAGGAGCTACTTTGATGGGGTGTGAACTTTACCCTAACATCGTCTACACGAACTTCTCGGAAATGATTGGGCGCCAAAAGCAGGTATGACATTTTTTGTTGAATAGGATATATTTGTTGTGGCGTCCGTATTAGTCACTTGATATGATGACCCGCTAAATGAAGTGTTGCGAAATTCATCTTCAGTGTTCTAGTACATTTTTTCACCTCGTAAGTTTTGTATTCGGTAGATGATGTTCTCGCTGCTAAGCTACGGAGTTGGCCGGAGGAACACGTAGCTTCCTCTTGGTTTTCTGAGTGTCGTTGAGCATCTCTATGTCGCTGCGCCCGATTTTCGGGCTGTTGTATTCATCCTGAACGACTCGTTTGGCTGCATCGGTGGTTGTCTGCTTCACAAATTGTTAGTAAGTCAAAGAGAAGGGTTAATCAGTTTTGCTTAAACATTGCATTTGAAAAGTTGTCATAAGTTCACCATGTGATGTAGAGTCTGTTGATTTTGGTCAGTAGTACTTTTACTCTTCTAGTTGTAAGGCCCGTCCTTACGGTCGTGTTTCATGACCATAGTCTGCAGTTATCACTCTGTAGCCGGCTATATATTCCCCCTGGATATCCAGGAGACACAATTGGTGTTCATGAATTGAAATCAAGAGTAGCAACAGCATAGGTAACAACCTGAAGTACACATATTCCACGCAACGTTTCATGAAAATCTCGAAGGTTTGGAAAAAGGCCCTTCCTTCTGGGACACGGTGCACAATCGAATTGAATTTGTCTACATTCTATAGTTCATCCTCCCAACCCATGTGCAGCTGGTTAAAATCAATGATTCAGTGAAACTGACCAGATGATATTGGTGGGTTGAGTTCAGGGACAGTGACTCAAGTTTATATACATAACTTCCGTCCCAACAGCAATGAGCCATTGCAAAGTAGGCTTGTCGCCGACCAGTTCTCCGATTCGCGGTCATACCAATCCTTTGTTCGTTTCAGTGGACATTTGCACACAAACTGCGGACACTTTCTTGATTGAATGCACTAGTCATAAGCTTGCTGAAGGTCCTGTGACAGCCCACCACCGGTTCTGCCTTTCTTGGGGTTCATCAGATTGCCATAGTCACCGAATTTCCGCCAACCTCATGTTCCATCCAATGCAAATTACAGGTGATTCGTGAAATACACTCATTTGCACACCAACTTGGTTTTAACGTAGGCGGAAGCTAGATCTTTCGTTCATGATGTATTACACTCAGCCTGCCTCATGTTGACAAAAGTTATGGAATTGGGCCTAGTTGATAAGCCCAAAGGACGTGGGCTGTCAAAAACTTTTCGGCAATCTTTTTAGTGGTGTGCTCCGTCGAAAAAATGTACTGCGACACCTTGAAATTTTGCCAACTGAAACATGAGGCTGTTTTCGTGCAGTTGAAGAATATCCCAAGCGAGTGATTCAGCTGGGATTTAATTGTCTTCTGTTAAAACTAAAACAGTTTGGACGTGATAGTATTTCGTAGACAGTCTTAGTTTCGTCGCCATTGTTGGTAATGTAGGAACGCAGTCATATTCACCCATTCATCCGACTAGTGACCGTAGAAAGTTGTAGACTTAAACAGGTCTGAGTACATTTTCCGTTTTGATAAGTTATTTAACTGTGACACCCTTTCGGTGTCTAGCTGTCACGCTATTCGAAGAAAGCACGAGCTCTGAGGCAATGCCAGGTTGCCAGAGCCTAAACAGCAGCACGTGAGATGCAGAGGTTGGTTTCGAACGACAGACTTTCCGGTCAGTAAGCTTGCGTCTCAACCACTGAGCTACCTCGAGATCGAGCTTGGTAATTTATAGAGCAGAGGTATGTGCGCACCTTTTGGTTATCCACTGTCCACCTACTACATTCACTTCAATACTAACAGTTAACTTCGAAGTAACTGCGCGCCGTTGCTTTTCCTCGCATGTCCATTTACATCCTTTTTGACCCACTCCAGATGTACACCTGATATTTTTACTGCTGTTATCTGCACAACAGAACGCCATAGTCACAAAATCAGCCATCGTTCATGTTTGTTATAACCCATCAGTCCGCTCTTTTCAAGTTGTCTAGCGAGACGCTGTACTGAGCAAAGGAACCGTATGATGACCCCAGAATCGGAGACATTGGCCGGTTACAAGTCTGTTCTGCAATAGTTCATTACTTTTGTGATGCGAATATGGATGTAAAGGTTGTAAAGAACTGCACATCAATGCAGTTTGACTTCGTGCTGTAGTATGGGTTGTTTTGGGGTATGGCAGCAAGACCTGCTCGAGCAGCGGAGCTGAGATGTCTTCAGGTGTTCGACAACCGTGGTCTCAGAACCATAGTTTTGTGTAGGTTTGTGTCGGCGAATTCGTAACGAAGCAAGTAGAAAACAACCTTACGATCGTGCAACGGGGACTTCCATTGAAAAATGTGTCCGGCACCAGAAGCTACGTTGGTTTGGTCATGTGCCGCTTATGCCGAATTATCGTTCGCCAAAGACAGTGCTGTTTTCCGTGCCCTATTCAGAGTAACGGAAGCAGAGAAGCGGCTAACCCTTGATCTGACAGAGGGGTTTGAAAGATATCACGAAACCTATGGGTGCTATCGGTGCTACTCGTCTACCAGGATTGAAACCACGTGATCCCCACTTGGCCCGGTCTGGGACGCTGCAACATATGACTATTATTCGATTTCAATGTTGTTTTTGGTTTCCATCCAATTTTTCTGGAAGTGTCCGAATGTGTAGACACCTGATTGTGGTATGCTAGCATCAAGGCACTTCGCCGTCCACTTTTATTGTCTCTTTCACAATTAGGCTCTCAAATAAATCATGGTTGTACGGCAGAGAAGCATCAGTGTTGAGCACTGATGCCATGATGTCGATGATTATTATCATTATTATCCCACTGATTTTATCCAACCAACCAATGAGAGCACAATTCTTTCGCAGTTGAGACCATAGCCGCAGGTGGATTCGCTTCCATTTCGCAACGTTCTATGACCTTTTGCGTATGATCACTCCCCAAGCCATTGAGTTTTGAAGACTCTGTGTTCCACTATATTCTCTAGTGTTTCCTTCGCAGTTGATTGAGTGACTCCCTCAGTCGGAATATCCAGGTATTGGATCTTTTGTCTGGCACCGACCGCTTGTCGCACCTGTGTCCCGGGATGTAGGTAGTCACTACGATTCCTTGGTTTGGCGAGGAATCTTTGCGGACGACCTACCCCAGTGGGGTACGACGGGTTCACTAAACATGAATGCTGCTCTCCATAGCTATACGAGATTCACTGTATGTGACAAATTCTTGATAGATCAGTCTCCATAATTTTCAAAGTCAGACAAGTACAGACTTAATCGCCTTTGATTGTGTGTGTAGGAATCGTGCTTTTGTGAGTAGCGGGTGAAGTTGATAAACAGAATTTCGGGTACAGCAATTTATTTGACGGATTACCAGGAAAATGTAAACCGGATGTCTTTCGCTGGTCTTAGCTGTAGCTCTGCACATTTTTCTGAACTACTGTAAGACCTCATTTCTGTGACAACTTATAGTTGATGAAGATAGCTTGAGAAAATTCACATCCTCGTTTCTGTAAATTTACTTGACATTTCGATCCGCAATCCATCATTTTTGCTATCGCTTTGCTGTTTCTATGTATATCTACTAGATTATTAGCTGTTTGATTGAGCGACGGAAAGACTCTCTGGGTAAATCATTTCCCGGAATACCAGCAAGGCTCTTTCGTAATGGACCGTTGCAACTTCATCAAGTCCCAGGTCTTCTCGAGTCAGGATGCGCACCAGCGCATTGGTCGAAGAAAGATGAGCCAGATTTCGTTTTGCAGACCGCTTGTCTGTCGAATGATGTTGGTAAGCTGACTGATGGAACGGATTCGGTTGACCAGACAGCCTTCGGGACAATTGAGGTTTCGGACCCAACTGGTTCCCAAAGGAAACTTCGCCGGCGCTGTGTTCAAGCGTATCCTGCTGTACCGAGACTCAATGCCATGGCCAAACCGACAAAATTTCCTGTGAGATCTACACGTCGAGGATCACTTACGAACATACCGTAGGTTCCAGTGACTTGACGCCATTAAGAAGACGTTTTATTTCTCTTGGTCTACTGCTTTTCAGCTTTTAGTAACTTGCCATCAAAAACTTGTAATGCACTCAGAATTGGAAATGCCAACATTATTGTACTCAGCAGCGTTCAACAGTTCACTATGCATATCTTTAACATTTGTCATCCTTATTCTCTGCTGTATCTTGGGTGGCCGTCTATTGGTTGCGCCTGAGCTGAGCCCGCCAGACTACGCAATGAGGAGGCAGAGAACCGCGGACGTAGTGTATTGTCGGAACAAACACACACAGATTCTCCGTGAATATATAGGATAGTTAAATTGCCAAATATAGTCATTCGCTTGTTCGTTCTGTCCAGCCAGTGACGACGTTTCCGTCGTGAAGATTTTCACACACATTCCTCTGGTCGCATGCTGCTAAGCCCTGTTTGGTCAGCAACGTCCACGCACCTGCTATCCGAAAGATGTGGTACCGATGATGAACTTCGGGACGCGTCGTTCTCTGCACAGGTACTTTTCGTGTCTGGACGCTTGCTGATACTCCTGAGCTATGCAGCACGATACCAGGTATGATGCCGGGTTATTTGTCCAAATACTCATATTGTCATTCAGGGGACTCGGGTACCAGCACTGGATGTCATTTCTAAATGGCCTCTCCGTGCGTAGGGACGTTTTTGAGCGGATTGGAGTAGGACACCTCTCTCCCCTTTTAGGGATGCCGTTCGGCTAAACTCAATCATAGACACATTGTCTTGGACTCCGGAGCCCCTGAAACAACAATTATATTTAGAACGTATCATTCATTTCCCGACCTGAAGCTGTCACCTTGTTGTGGTGGACGGGCTTCTGTGCTGCAATGATCCTGTGGGCTATACCGGCTGGAACTCAGTTCCTAAAGGTTCGATAATTCTAGGAAGGCCAACGGAGAGCAGTCCGACGAAGAACAGCGATTCCACTAATTCCATAATAAATCTCACCTTTCAACAGGCGGGCAGTGGATTTTCGAGAAAACCACATACTGCTCGCGTACCTCATCAGTAGCGTCCACCGTTTCATCGGTAGCAAAAGAGGTTTGTTCATGCAGAGGAATAATGTTTGCATAAGTGGGATAGCTAACGAGTGATAGCGTTATCTGCATTTTTAATCTATTTAGTAACTGGCTATCTTGTTATTACTGTTTTTGCTATCTTGTTACTACAGCGAAGGCTTTCTTGCGAACCACAACCGAGTCGTTTAGCTGAAGAGCCGGATTCGCGATCCATTGAAATGAAACATGAATTCATTTGGTCTGTGGAACCTTGTGGCAGTGACCGTATTCTATGTCTTTTGAATGGAAAGGAACTATCTAGGATACCCAACGCATTTTGCAGACACATACCAAGAGGCTGGTAGTACCATCCAAGTTTTTGTCCGGTTACGGGCCAAACGTAACATCTTACACCGTTCATGTGATACTAGCTTTCGATACATTATCGTCGTTAGGTCTTTTCGGCTTTGTGGGGAGAACCTACTTACTCTTGTTGTTCATGACTGCGTACCATAAGTGTGGTGACATCTCCGATCTACACTTCGAATGACGCGCGTTTCTAACGTCCCCGACACAATAGAACACTTGGGCTATTCTGTTTAGCGCGATACAATTAAACCGGATATCATATCAACGGACAACGAACTCAAACTTTTCAGGCCTGCAGGAAACCGAAAACAATTATTCATCAAATAAAGGGGTTGGAAAATCTGCTGCTGATGGGTCGGAACGAAGACCACTTACACGAAGTGGGCATGACCGAAGATCATACCCGAGAGGAGACACGTGGGTGATAAGTCATAAATCAGGCAGGGTCATGGGTACACAAGTGTTAGGGTGAGGGACCTTTTAGTAAAGAGTTGGAGTAGGGTTCCAGTCATCAACGTTACAAATGACTACTACCCTTCACCCGGAAAAAAATGTAAGGATCTTTATCTTGTCTCCAACCTGAGAACGTACTCGGATTCCAGTCACTTCCCATCTCTGAGTTCCCTATGTTAGTGAATGCTCGTAATAGAATTTTAGTAGCTAGTTGATGGGGAAATTTCATGGTACCTCTGTTATATTGTTTATTGTTCAACCTTGGGCGAGGGGAGGTTTGTCTCACCCGTCCATTCCGCTTTTTTTACTTGACTGACACCTACATCCAGTTTTCTTCGTACGTATGACGGACAAGAGCCGATGGCAGTCGCGAAACTATCTGTTCATATACTCTTTAGAATGTTATCAGCAGCATATTCCACATTTATTGGGCACTACTGTAAGCCTTCCGACGCTGTTTCTCCTTTTGGATACCTTACGCATCTCTATGGTCTATGAATTTCTCCGCTCTCTTTTGCACAATGGTTATATGCTTGTCTGTATTGTACGTCCTCCTCATTTCAAACGGTCGTCGCGTTCATGATAGATGCAGAATCGATGCTAAGTATCATGGGTAATCGATCGACTGACATATATTGACTTTTGACACAATTTATCCAACACGATTGGCTGACTGTCCGCAATTTTGTTCGTTTCTCAAACCGCTCGCCCACCTTCACCAAAGAACTTTGGTCTCGCTCCAAACAGGTTGGATACTTTATCCGCGAACGATTCGGTTAACAAAATTGGTTCAAACGACGTTAACGAACTGGCCACTCAGCTAAGACCGATTTTGACCGCTCTGCGTAACCACATACTAGCAGCTCCGTTTCAACGTCCTGTGACGTCCGCAGAAGCACCGGATTATCATGATATAATCATATTTCCCATGGGTAAGTCGAATCTCACATCATCTTTACTCGGCCGTTGCGACAGAGGGCTTCTTGCCTCGTAACTTCATCCTGAATTGAACTGTTAGTACCTGGCTTTTCACACTCTAGAAGCTGCATTTTTCAGTCCTGTTTGGGTGGTCGCTTTTATTAGTTCGTTGTACGTTACGTGACTGATTTTCCTCCCCTAATTGTGTCTCTTTCTCAATCAACTAACAACTACGTGATTTGTCTTTTTGCTTGCTTACCAGGTAATTTTGTATCCCATAAACACATGTTGTAGCGGTACATAATACTGAAGAAACATAAAGGTAGTGTCCGGTCAAGTGTCAAAGCGCTGTCCCTGCATCTGATAGGAGGTTCATGTGGAAATTACTGGACCGCCTTGCGGTGTTCTTTGTTGCTTAATATTCAGGGGGACTTCAAGGAGATGCTTGAGGATGTTCACTTTTCATTAACTTTGTCCCAGTGGGTCTTTTACTTCCGTGTCTATCAGCCTGTGTCCTCTTATTTCGTGTTGGACAATTGCCAAACCCGCACTCGAAGGCGCTACTTCTTTCAGTGGATCTTACAATCTTTTTACTTCTTTATCTCCAAAACATGAGTGTAGATTATCAGGATGGGAGCCGGAAACCGAATTGAAGGCTTTTGTATGTGGTTGAAATATAAACCCACAATTTTATCCACTTGGCCACCCAGGCCTGTTGTGTCGCATGTGGGTTACGGTTTCTTTAGTATTTAAATGCACATTACTTTTTTGGAAGCTGTCTTGTCATGAGTCGGCATACTGGGGAAGCACAGTAATTGGTTTTGAAAGTCATCTGACAGGTTGTGATACTCGTCGAGTGTCATATACAGGTCATTTTATTTGTCAAATGCACAAGTTGACAATAGTATTAATGAGAGAGGTGCTAAATCGACCACAACGAAACCGTTGGCTTTCCTCCGGTTTTTGAAACGATGCCTTTCGGAAGTTGAAGGTTACCCGCACCATATGGTTCCTCGTGGATAAATGATGCAAAACTGCTCCTTTGGACATATCTCTTTACCTTTTTTACAAGATGTATCCTTGGAACACATTTTCCATACATTAACATGACTACATTCTTAGAGGTGGGCTAACGTGCGCAGTAACGAATGGGCGTCTTGAAGGACTGAATTATTTACTTACTTTACGGCGATTTCTGCAGAAAGACTGGTCGTCTCCAAGATTATTCAGAATTGTTGCTACTTGTGCAGCACACGAATCACTTGTCCCAACAATGGGTGCCTGTATTTCTCATCAACACTTTACTTGAGAAGCGAACTGGGTCACAGTGTGATTATTAGTACCTCGGGTCGTGACTGTCGAACAAGCTGTTGGGTCCGTTTTATTGAGGTGGATGCTTTGTATTCTAAGTTGGAACGCGGGTAAGTCTCCCGGATGGTCTCGCATTGTTTGGATCGGTTTATAGCCGTTTTCCTAGGGCTTAAAATTTACGAACTGGTTATTGAATCTAACGACCTCATGATAGTTCCCCCGTTCATTTGCTTACTTATGTACTTTTGACGGCGCTCAGTATTCGCACAATGGAATTGAATTTTCGAAAGCCACGACGTGTCTCTGATAGACTTAAATAGACAAGCAATTCTGTTCAGAGTAAGGGTCCAAATTTTTGAGTCCCATCTAGGCATCCAGGGATCTCAGAGGTGGTAGAAAGGTATTCCACCAAACGTTTTCCGCCAGGGGTATGATTGCTTCAGCGGACAGTAAAATTAGGTGAACTGCAGAAATAGGAACGTAGATTAGGGTGGTTTTTGGTTTGAGCACATGTGCAACAAAATGCAATATTTTGGCGTAAAGTGTTTCATTCTACTAGCAACGTTTTGCAGCTAATACACTAGTGCGTTGGCATGTGTCTGTGGGAATGTGCGCAGCTTACCTACTTACCCATGCGCGTTCATGTCCGGTGTGTTGAGCCTGCTTGCCTTGTTTTCTCATGAGTTCCGTGTTATCCCACAGCCAATGAGAATCACGAGACTGTCGTCGGGAGGGGCCACCGCAATCCACACTACTGAACTAACTTTCCGCTCACCATCGCTTGGTTTGCGGACGTTGAAACTGCACTGTGCCGGTCAATGACAGACTGGTGCACTTGTTGACGCTACGAACGCGGACAACTGAGGTTTCTTGGGTAAATGGTACCGTAGAATCGAACTCAGTTCATCCTTTTGATATTCGGGATTGTCGAACCCATGCGTCACTCAAATTTCCGTATCGGAAACCTCAACACTAAAAATGGTTTGAATTTTGACTTTCCTTATTGAGCCTTTCTCACTCAAGAAGAACTCCGACCGGTCGCTGAACATGCCAGTTATTGTCGCTTTCTTATATTCGTTTGAAACTTTTTTTCAGATCTGGGCACGATGTGGGACCGGCTGAAGTCCCGATACTACACAACGAAGGCTCTGTTCATAGCGGACATGATGCGGATATTTCACAATTGTCGTGTCTACAATCAGCCGGAATCTTATCTTGTTAAGTGTGCTAATACACTGGAACGATTCTTCATTAATCAAATGAAGGAGGTTAATCTTTGGCAGTGACGCTATCCAATTTTTGTACCTGTCTTGACTCCGCATTAATCTCATTTTCCTCTTGTCTCGCATAAGTATTTATTTTAGTCCAATCAGTATGCTGGGTTTGTGTTCAGTACACTGCATCCGCAGTATGTGCCATGAATGCGTAACTCCTGTGCTTTCATCACTATCTACCTGTTGTCATTCAGTTCGGGGACATTTCCTTACGCCGAGTTGTATCGGCAAAATCTACCAGTAAAACATCAATTTCGCGGATACCTGAGAGATGAACATTTTAACTGAGTACACATAATTTAAGTGAGAATACGGATTCCGGGAAACGGAGCAAAGAGCTTCTGGGTCGGGCGGCCTTCACCTACGCTTCTCTCAAAAGTGCAGTCGGACTCTTACCGTTGGTAACTGCGTTCACTTCAAGCTTGTTTGGGCGTTTACTTAAGAATGCCTTGTCGAATCAACGATGCCTAATACTTCCGTTGTGAGTTCAGCTGTTCGCTGAAACTAGCAATTTCTGCCGAGCAGAAACATTGTAGCACAGCATTACTAGGAAGAAAAGATGAAAATTATTTATATGGAGCATAACAAACACCAAATACCCAAGAAGGTTTATGGGATCCCCGAAGAAAAGGATATCTGAGCAGCAACGACAACAACAGACAATTAAATAGATACCGCTAACACACATCGAGAACTTATATGAACTAACAACCAGAATATCGCAACCACATGGTATTTGAGTGGTCCATGTACAGAGCGGCGTCTTGAAAGTCAAAGAACTAGACAAGTCAAGGTAACCAGACACACTGTTACCTACCATATTACGTGCAGTAAGTATAACCAACACGAGACGACTGTAAAAACATGATTCACTTTCTTTGGTTTCAAAACATAAAAATCACGAAGGCCACCACTTCCATATATAAGAAGTAAAAAATTCTGGCACGTGGAGAGTTCTCAGAAGTGCGGTGCATCTTTGGTGGTTGTTTTGGCGGGTACTCTGGCTTGGAAAGTTCAAACTGAAAACTAGGCTGAGGAGATACCGTTATTACAGTTGGCGAACGGGAACCCACGATGTCTATAGAATTTGATTATTTCGGAGAATTATAGCAGCAACAAAAGCAGTTTGATAAAACACAACTGAAGCTCATTGAACCACTGACTCAGGGACTGCATATCCAGACGCAGTACCAATTAGTCTTGTTTCTTCAGCTGATGCAATCGCAGCCTTAATCACGAAGTTCAAATCCTACTCACTTTTGACTCCTGGTTCAAGCGGTACGAAGATCTGTTCACAACGGTTTCTCCAAGTTCGAGGACGGACGGAAAGTCGGACTATCACCACGAAAACTCAGCACACCGAAGCAGGAGTGGTATACAAACTTCATTCTCCCGAAGCTGCCCCGTGATTTTAGCTTCGACGAAACGGTCCTAGATATTCGGCGATCAAACCACTGTTCAGTATCCGTCATCAATGCCCCAAGGTCAGGATGACGTTTCATCACGATTGTCGGTGTTGTCGATCGGGAATACGAGCTTTTCAAGCTCAGCTCAATGACGAAAAACTGGTTCGAATGCCCCATTTTTTATCCGGCTTCCCGTGTTCCCAAAATGGAGACATTAGAACCCAGCTGCTTCACGCACTTGAACAGGATGCTGAGCCTTACCAGGGAATATCAATGCCCCATCAATTTGAGGCACGACATGTCCATGATTGGCGATTCACCTGCTGTTTCTAACAGCTGTGTACACGAAAATCTTGTCTGCGGTGTGGTGAAGCATCCAAGCCACCCGTGAAAACCTATCTGCGGTTGTGACCGAACCCCGGTCTCGTCTGCGCGTCGACTACGCAGGTCCAATTGGTGGCCAACACTTCTTGGTCGGGGTCGACGCTTATAGCAAATGGCCGAAAATTTTTCCAGTGAACCACTCCGCAACTGCCACTACAGTCCTAGAACTCCGCCAGTCGCTTTTGAACACCGGATACTGTTGTATCCGGCAGTCAGTTCACGCTTCCTTGACACCCTTAAGCGTGCACTTCATAAGTCCAGAGGGGAGGGTCCGACGGAAGAGATTTTGCAGATTTCTGCTGGCATACTGAGCGACGCAAACCCCAACTCTCCAGATGGAGTGTCATCAGCAGAGGTACTGCTTGCAACACTGCGTGACATTATCCGGCAACAGAAAAGGCAACTGTGTTACCTCAACAAGTGAATGGTGAACCAGTTCAACTGGTATCATGGAACAACCGCGCGGTACTTCGGCGAAAGCTAGATAGTCTTGGTTTGCGACTACATCAACAGACACCCTGCGTTGTTTCCATGACACGTCCTTCGCCAGCGTGGCAAAGTACTGTTAGGCGGAATTCCGCACCCGTACCGCTCGCAGTTAGGCGCTCCCACGGCCAAAAGCCTACCCCGCACGCTATTCGTCAGAAGATCGGGCCGCTTGCCAGCCCAGCATCAACGCGAGCTCTGCTTGTTCGAAAGTCTGGACCCAAAAGCTAAGCATGATCCCGTATCTGCCGAATACCAACTGACGGTGGCGCGTTTGGAAGGCGTTAAAAACTCCAGGTTGTCGCCGCGTACACCTTATAAACGATACGCTATACATGTATTTTTACCTGGTTTTAGGTGTCAATACTCGTTGTGCACCTGTGGCGGCTGTTTTGACGGGAACGCTACCTTGGGAGTTTCAGATCCAGAACTAAGCTCAGAAAATACCGTCATTACATTAGCACGCAATGCGTCAGCCACAAGGAATATGGACCCCTGAACATAAAGTACAGCTCCGTTTCGCTTCACACTAGAGCACTAAGAATGTCACCGCCATTAATGAAGAAGCGCTTCCAACAATGTCATCTAACATTTCGACTAAGGGCTGACGAGAACGAGTTGTGAACAATTTCCTCTGTATTAAGTTGGTTACTTCCATTTGGTACGTATTCCATCTTGTCGTCACTGACAATTGGCTCATTACGTGTAACAATTTCCTGTGGCGACGCTTCCGTCGTGAAGATTTTCACACACATTCCTCTGGTCGCATGCTGCTAAGCCCTGTTTGGTCAGCAACGTCCACGCACCTGCTATCCGAAAGATGTGGTACCGATGATGAACTTCGGGACGCGTCGTTCTCTGCACAGGTACTTTTCGTGTCTGGACGCTTGCTGATACTCCTGAGCTATGCAGCACGATACCAGGTATGATGCCGGGTTATTTGTCCAAATACTCATATTGTCATTCAGGGGACTCGGGTACCAGCACTGGATGTCATTTCTAAATGGCTTCTCCGTGCGTAGGGACGTTTTTGAGCGGATTGGAGTAGGACACCTCTCTCCCCTTTTAGGGATGCCGTTCGGCTAAACTCAATCATAGACACATTGTCTTGGACTCCGGAGCCCCTGAAACAACAATTATATTTAGAACGTATCATTCATTTCCCGACCTGAAGCTGTCACCTTGTTGTGGTGGACGGGCTTCTGTGCTGCAATGATCCTGTGGGCTATACCGGCTGGAACTCAGTTCCTAAAGGTTCGATAATTCTAGGGAGGCCAACGGAGAGCAGCCCGACGAAGAACAACGAGTACTTGCACTGCGAGTAATCGTATTTCGAGGCGGTCTGTAGGTGATGTCGCACTGTCTTCTGCGACAGCATTGTGAAGGCATCAAGGTGTTCCCCCCCAGGCGACCAGCATGTCCGTATTTATGGAAGCAGCGATGCTGCCTTCCCCCGAGGAAGGACGGGTTAGAAAAGGCCGGCAAGAAAATACTGCACACTCCAGTCGCCCAACGGTTGACCATGACCACTGGCGCATTACTCAATACGGTCGAAATACTTTTAAAACCAAATAGCCTGGTGCTGTTCAAAAGGCACCTGCTGTGCGCAGCCGCATCAGGATTGACACCTTGATGCCCTACTCCCTTCGCGATCGGGCTAGGCCGGCCCCCTACATCCAAGTAGGCCAGACTATTGAATCCTTCGCTCCCCCAAGAAAACCCTAACGACCACTGTCCGACAATCCAGACTTTGGAGTCGGAGGCTAGGGACAGGGCCTCCGAACAAAACCCTAGACCCTCCCTCTGCCTTGTGGGTCAGACATTTGAGTCAAATGCTCAAAGTGGGGTACCACAACTAAACCCCTTTCTTCGGCCTGGGCAACCGGGAAGCATAATTCGGCCTTGCAGTTTTTCGCTCGCCGGCTTCCCTCTCATTCCCTCCCAACCTATAGTGCAGTGCAATCAACCCACGTGCCAATTCCTTAACCACTGTTCCGTGTCTCAATCATCGCCCAGAAAAATAAACCAAAATAATCACCTACTACTCTCAGATCTGATCCACGTTGCAGCCTTCAATGTCCGTATTCTATGCTGAATCCTTACTTTTCCTCTTTATCGATATATGTTTTGTTTCTGAAACACGCATACAAGACCCCACTTCGGTCGTGCACCTAATGACGAGCTCAATGTTTCACATTTCATTCTTCAGGCATCCGGTGATCCTGACGCCATGGGTCGTGGTATCACGGTGTGGGAGTTGCACTCAGCTCCGAGGCTGAAAGAGCATTATGGACTGGATCCCAATAGATAGTCGACTGCGCAGTGCGGTCGTCGGGCTCAATTTAGGTCCATAGTGGCCGATGCGGTAAATGACGTCTACCTTTCTTATCAGCTTACGCCCAAACAGACTGCAGTTATGAAACTAAGGACGGGTTTTATCAAGGTTTGTGGCGACTGCCTCGGACGTCCCACAATTGTTTTTCTTGATATGACTCCGTCGATCGTGAGAAGCTTTGGTGGTATCGGACGGGTTTTATGTTTGTGGCGACTGCCTCGGACGTCCCACAATTGTTTTTCTTGATATGACTCCGTCGATCGTGAGAAGCTTTGGTGGTATGTATCGATCAAAGTTGTTACATCCAAATTTATACCCCTTATGGAGGCATTCTATGCGAACTCCTGTGGGAGCTTACCAGTATACGACAGGCTTTCGCCTGAGTTCACCACGTCCAGTGGTCTAAGACAAGGTCACCCTTTCTCACCTCTCCTCTTCAACTTTGTTACTGATGTGCCGCTTGAAACTTCTCTGCCTGTCTCGGGAGTCGAAATGCTCCCGGGACGTTCTCTCACAGACATTAAGTATGCGGACGATGTTGCTCTCTTCGGTTCGGATCCTTCAAAAATGCGAACCATTTCGATTATATAAGTAACCCAAATATTCTACCGCACGGTTTGGCATGTGCTTCACATCTGCAAAGTGTAAACAGCTGCTACAAGACTCGGTTCGAAAACCCATACCTCATGCCTGCGTACGAGCCAATCGATGTGGGAGATAAACTTGTTTATCTGGACAGCTGTACAGGTTCACACTGGCCGGAAATGAGATTACTCCTCGAATAGGAAAGGCTGGGGCAACCTTTGCCAACCTCCGACACCTATGACGTTGACGTGATGTCAGCTTGTCTGTCGAGGGCAGAGTTTACACTGCGGCAGTGCGATCCATACTGCTTTATGGATCAGAGACGTAGCGGACGTACGAAAAACGTCAGTATTTGATCATCGATGCCTCCGCAGCATTGGCCACGTCTGGTGGGCACATCGGATTAGTAATGCTGAGGTACGCCAGATGGTCTTAGGACGAAGGAACTCTCACTCCATAGGTTACGCTGGCAACGAAGTATAAAGATACCAACCGATAAACTTGATTAAGTTGTCAACTGCAGCCTCCATAGATGGAAACCCCTGGACTCAACTCACCAATGGTTACTGACATTGAGGTACTTGGGTACGAACATTTTCGAAACACTGAAAAATGCGCGATCGACTACTACTGCGGCTCAAGTCTAACTCACTATAAGAGAATTCCGAAAACCAGTATTTCTGAGACACTGGTTTGTCAATAATAAAGACTGCGAGAGTCAGAAGTTTATTGTGAACAATGTCAGGGGAATATGTCTCACTCCCGAAGTAACGTATGCCGGTGAAGACCCACTGTATCTGATTTGCCAGCCCATAGATGCAAAGCGGTTGTGCATGTGGGAAGCGATAGCTCTTCGGAAAGCCAATTATAGAACTATACTCATATGCCAGGTGTCGATGTAGAGCAGAGGGGAATGACAGCAACAAGGAAATGTACATTGGCCTGTTGCAAGCCAGTGTGCCATCAATGCAACAGAAGTCTGTGCTGCATGCTACTTTGCAACCATCCAGTCATATACAGTGTTTCGTGTTGAAATGAGTGAAACGTTTTATAAAAAATTCCTACTTCAGCCAAAGATAAATGCCAATGAAACAAATGTTGCACTCAGCCACATTAATTCCCCTTATGAATGCGAAAATAAGACGTTGCCCTCCGCAAACAACTACGGAAATTAGACTCGTCCAGCAGTTTCTTGGCCAGGAAGACCTCAGAGTTGAAGTCATCCAGCATTCAGTGAATTAATTTATCGCAACAGCGGAATTTCTCGGCGAACACGGTTGTCCGAGGGTGGGTAGAGCTCAGACGACACGTCAGAGATATTTGCGGGGATGCACAGTCCTTAGCCTTATGACTAGTTTCTTCAAAAGAATGTAGTGCGATATTTTGAATATTAAAAATAATTGTTCAGCTATAGCACCATTTCGGTGCCTAGCTGCCATACCACCCGAAGGTTGAACGAGGGCTGGGATACTACCAAGTTGCCCAAGTCTAGACAGGGAAAGTCGAGAGGTAGAGGTCGGGTTGGAACCACGGTCCTTCCGGTCAGTAAATTCAGTAGAATCAGCAATCACTCGGGCCATCTCGCCCCCAATATTGTTCGAAATGAAACATGCGGCGGCCTCTGTATGAGACATTCAGTTGAACAATTGAGGGTCACTTAAGTCTCATGTCGAACGCGACACATGTTAGTATTTACCGAATTTCATTTCAAACAGAACAAAAAGTAGACGGAAACCCACAGACCGAGCTCGGCTGATAAGCCCGATATTGTGGCCGGCCGTGGGCTCTCGAAAGCTCTTCGTCAACTGTCTGAGTAGAGTTTTTTCAAGAAACTAATGTTTTCATTTTCAGGCCGTAGATGTTGTAACGTGCTTCCGCACATTTGGTCGAGGTCTATAAAGGGACCGAGTGCTTGCTAACAACACCGTGTTCGACTCAGCTCGAATCCTCATATTATCCTCACATCTTACGTATGTATAAATGATGAAATTGGACTTTGGCTTCCGGTAATGTTCACCAGTGTAACAAAGTAGACGCAAATGTCGGCTTGGTTGATCGAATTTCGATGGTCATCCACGGAATCCAAATTATACCACCTCACGACTTCACAGTAAGGATCATCTTTTGTTGGCTACGTTCAACCGTTTGGTAGATAAAACCCACTTACCAACACTGTCTTTTTCGAATATCACCGCAGCTGCAAAAAGGCTAGTGTGCCATGAAATTGAGAGGAATCACCAATTTCAGATGATACGACAGTTTGAATGCCTTGATGACCAATCCATTTGTGTGGAATAACTGGTCTGGAGAGGGGGTGTTAGCAAGAATGAGGCCAGGATGGCCTATATGGAACTGGTTTATTTTGTAGACGAATACCCTGACCAACCCAGCCCACAACAGCAGAAAAGCGCTATTACAGACATATTGCAATGACACAATTGTGGGGTCAGATTGGCTGGTGGGAGACCAATGGCAACCGATTGGACTTAATGATCAATAGTGTAAGTCCGATAGTTTCTACCAGCGTGGACGGCAGAGAGGAACAAACTAAATGAACAACAAAACAACCGCTGGATACACCCCATCTTTCACTCTAGGTTAATTACTCGATATCCTGCTTTACTATCATCATGATGGATTCAGTAGACTAAGCATAAAAATTAACATCATTGGGCACTGTTGTAATGAACAACAAACAATATGGTGCAGAATGTAAATAACCCTAACTGTTCTAAAATGTTGAGTTCATAAAACGAGCGCCATTACCATTATAGTAATAGTCATTTCGACGGAAGGGATGCTTCGAAATAGCCTAAATATAAATGAACCACCTTCACTGGGATCACCCCATGTTAAACAGAAAATAAGACGGGAATGTAATCGATTTTTAGATTTAAACGCCCAATGGATTGAAAAAATGTCAGAAATGTTTCGGACGAAAGCTGAAAACCGGTGATACGTGCAGAAAAGTGTTAATTAGGAACGGGAGCGACTAGAGCTTGAACTCGATGAAGAGCTGGATCCAGAACGCGAACTAGAAGACGAGGAATTCGATGAATCTGAATCCGAGGAGGACGAAGAGGAGGAACGAGAACTGGCTTCGCGGTCGCGACGAGCTGACGAGGGTTTGCCGTCCGCTGTTACCTTCGAGGTTTGATTAGGCTTAGCTATGGGACTCCGTGAACGTGGACGACGAGTAGCGCTTGTATCCATACGAGACGCAGGAGGACCTAGAGTGGTGGTAAATAAAGTAAGCTACCAAACAACCATTCAGTGGGAAGTGTTACTATGAGGGATAATTGGTATAAATGGAATAAAAGGACAAGCAAGCCCAAAGATCCGAAAAAGGTGAAAACCCTAGAGCAACAGTTCGCAGGACTGACGCAAAACTGTACCATTTAGTCATGAAGTAAAACGTATCTTGATACGAAATCGGCAGTTTTTTAGATTCAATAGAGGAATAGCGCGACTAGCGATGTATGTATGTAATTATGTTGACCCCGGAACGGTCGGAATCCATTCTACTGCGCGATCGAACAAAAGTGATTACTTTAAAACACCTTCACCGGATTCCCTTCCCCGATCCCCCAACATGCAACAAACTCACTGGAAGAAATGATTCTAACCGGAAAATTCCTGCCACAGTTCCTCGCTAATAGGGAAGAAAAAGCATAAAAGGAGTGCACTTACTTCTAAATACGACGTGCTCTTGAATGACATTCATGACCGATGAGCCCTTTTGATCGTAACATTAACTCAACTTGGCGCGTGAGAGGGGTATAAGACTATGCAGAAGCAGCGACGACAGCAGCACGTGACAAAGCGATCGGGAAATAGCCAAACGAATCACTCTTAACATCTACCGACCACAGTTCACAAGCAAAGTTGAAACCAAGTCATGGTGAATCAAACGGCCAAACCCACTTGTTTCAGCCAGCAAGGCAACTAAGACAATCAGAGCACCACAAACCATCAACGAGCAGTCGACGCAAGATACCGCAAAATGTAAAAAGGTGATCCACAAAGTTACTCCAATAAAATTCAGTATTTTCCGGCAATGTACCGCGATTTTGTTGAAGCAACCGAGCTTTCTGCTCCACCGACTTTCGGAAATCACAGCTACCTAGGCATAACAGCAGACGGAACGTGCTAGCGAGGGAAGCATAGCTAACTGATTCGCCTGCGTTGAACTGGAAAACGAAATTAGTGAGTCTATCCCACAATTGTGGTTGTGTCAGTTGGCGGAAAGTACATGCGCCTACGTCGCGTGCAATTAAAACTGTTTAGCTCACAGACCACCAATCGGCTGAATATACAAGCTGAGCGTGACCTTGCATTCGACTCCGCTGGCAAAAGGTGAATCTATCGTCCGGTGCTTGTAACTGATGCGTTCGGGAGGATGGCTATCCAATACCAACGAACCCACTTGGTTCCAATGCTAACATCAAAGGTTCACGAAGAATTCACTCATGCAAACAATGTGCAACCTGCGCAAGGAGTATAATCGCGCAGAAGAGTACGTACGGAGCCGAATACTTTCAAGAAAACTCGACGGCACCTTCAGTTGCTTGACTGACTTTTGAAGAGAGTAATTCGAAGAGGCAAGCTCAACAGCTCCCAGCGACATGCAGCAACTTTCTAGCAAGCAATAAAGACAATGATCCCAATGGAGACACTTTGTTGAGGTAAGAAATAGTGGGTAGTACAACCATGACCTACACAACTAACAATACTCTCATGCCACATCGGCCGTCGCGTGGTG